GTGTCTATATCCATCTGGAGTATCTGCGAATTTTCTTAAGTTTGAAGAGTATTGTGAATACAAACGACTTGCGAGTATATAAACGCGTTAGAAATCGTCTGACACGTGTCCTTTCACTGAAATATTTCATTGATTATAATTATGAGTTGCATTACGTTTTTGAGGTAAGTGTACATCAAGATTTCTTTGCCAACTTTCTCTATAGCATTCACATACAGATTTGGTTAAAGTAAAATAATTCCATTATAGTGTCAGTAAGATGTTGAACTGTTGTTTCACAATGACAAATGATTGTGTTGTTTCAGAATGTGTTACACCTTAAGTTTTCTCCCTTCTCTTAAATTTCTTCGAAATTTAATTCTGAACGACATGAAACAACTTAAAACATTTTATTCAGAATACTACTTCCTAATTCATCGTTCGAATTCTGCTAAATTCCTAATGATTATTTTTATGTTACGCACAAATTTATTCCATGTTAATTATAAATATTTATTTATTAGTTTGCCTGATTCAAATTGCTGTAATATAATTTCTCAAAAGCTAATTTACAACACGTTGCACAACATATATTGCATATGAACCACGAATCGTATAATTGTTACGTGTAGTTAGAAGTGAACTGAGTTCGGTAGTTTTGGGTGTTAATAGACACTGCCTGGAATTGCGAGTAATTATATGTTAATTAGGTTTATGCCAAGAACGTTTCCCGTAAAAAGTTTCAAGGACCAAACTTCAATGTACACAAAGCACAAATAGTCATAATCGGGTGTCACTGCACTTACATGAATTTACAACAACGAATTTTGTTGAGAGTATGCTTCTTTAATTTTAATAACTGTTCCATCCATTTCAACGTTAAGACTTGTTTTCTTTTCCATAAAGAAGCGTTGCCATTTCCGCAATTCACTCTTCCGAAATTAGCTCAGTTTATTGTACGGCGCACTCAACTTCCTCACTCTCCCTCACTCGTGCGTGCGTGTGTGTGTGTGTGTGTGTGTGTGAGCGTTGCAGCGTCAGTGTGCACGAGCAGACGTCAGCAGGAGTGGCGATTTTGCAGCGGGAGCTCATTATGCAAATACAGCAAAACAGGGCGAGAAGCGCCCGTGCGCTGCAGACAGGTGCTCTCGGCTGTGCAGATTCCTACCAACAAAAAGCACGGGTGGGCAGAGGCAGCTGCGAAGGAGGCAAAAGGATGCATGTGGTAAAAAGGAGGCTACAAAGGAGACTGCGAAGGAGGATCCGAAGGAAGCTATGGAGGCTAAAGAGAGGCAAAGGATGCAAAGGAGACTAAAAAGACTGCGAAGGAAGCAAAAGGGGTTAAAGGGGCTGCTGCGGAACGAAGAAAGAAAGGTAGGAGCGGGAGGGGCGGGGATGTGGAAAGAGCTGCGAAGGAAGCAAGTCTAAAAGGATGCGTGCGAGAATAGCGACATACAAAGGAATATTATCGAGTGAGCGGAAGGAAGCTATGTCGAGGCCTAAAGAGAGGCAAAAGGATGCAAAGGAGACTAAAAAGACTGCGAAGGAAGCAAAGGGGGTTTAAAGAGGCTGCGAAGGAAGCAAAGGAAGCTGCAAAGGAAGCAAAGAGGAATGCACAAAGGAAGTTGCAAAGGAAGCTTATGGAGAGAGCTAAAGAGAGGCAAAGGATGCAAAGAGACTAAAAAGACTGCGAAGGAAGCAAAGGGGGTTAAAGAGGCTGCGAGAAAGCAAAGGAAGCTGCCAGAAAGAAAGCAAAGGAATGCACAAAGGAAGTTGCAAAGGAAGCTAAGGAGGTAAAGAGAGGCAAAGGATGCAAAGGAGAGACTAAAAAGACTGCGAAGGAAGCAAAGGGGTTAAAGAGGCTGCTGCGAAGGAAGCACAAGAAGAGAGCTGCAAAGGAAGCAAAGGAATGCACAAAGGAGTTGCAAAGGAAGCTATGGAGGCTAAAGAGAGGCAAAGGATGCAAAGGAGACTAAAAAGACTGGCGAAGGAAGCAAAGGGGGGAAAGAGGCTGAGGCTGCGAAGAAAAAGCAAAAGAAGCTGCAAAGGAAGCAAAGAATGCACAAAGGAAGTTTGCAAAGAAGTAAGCTAGGAGGAGGATAAAGAGAGGCAAAAGATGCAAAGGGAGACTAAAAAGACTGCGAAGGAAGCAAGGGGTTAAAGAGGCGGTGCGAAGGGATAGCAAAGGAAAGCCAAGGGGTGCCAAAGGAAGCAAAATGGAATGCACAAAGGAAGTTGCAAAGGAAGCTATGGAGGCTAAAGAGAGGCAAAGGATGCAAAGGAGGCTAAAAAGACGGCGAAGGAAGCAAAGGGCGTTAAAGAGGCTGCGAAGAAAGCAAAGGAGGCAATGAAGGAAGCAAAGGAGATGGATAAGGAATGCACACAGGAGGCTGCGGATGAGACTGCGAAGTAAATTAAGGAGGGTAAAGAGACGGGGAAGGAAGCAAAGGAGGCTGCAAAGAAAGCAAAGACGGCGAAGGAAGGCATAAAGGACACTGCAAAGGAGGAAAGGAGCTGGGGAGAAGTAGCTGAGAACTGAGCAGTGCTGTAGGAGGTGGATCTGGAGATTATTGGGACGAGGCAAAATCGAGGTGTCAGAGATACCAATAAGGAATCCAATAGACGAAGTCCTGGGATGGAAACTGCGGTAGGGACTGATGATATATCTACACCCGACACAAAGAGATCTTGTGGGTATTCTTCGTGAAATCCCTTAGTGTATTTGAAAATTTAGAAATAAATAACTGAGTTTTCATTTACTTACTAGTGGGATATTACTAAGGCGTTTTCTTCAAGAGTTCAAGCACACAGACAAAATAAGTAGTATTCTAAGATGTAAAATATTACTCTTTGCAATGCAAAGATGCGAAATGAAATAAATACTCAAATAATATATATTATATTAAAGTTAAATTTTATGCAAACTTTTGCTTCGAGTCTTTATATTTCTTTCAGTAATGAAGTTCATATTTTTATTTATAATTCTATATTTTCATTTTTATACTAGCGGTATTGGTTTTTATTCGAATGAATCGTGGTATAATTTCGTGAAATTGTTACCAAAACTGCTGTGAGTTTATCAAAAATGATTTGGTTACCACTAATTATATTAACTTTTTAAACACAATTTTTCCCCAAAATGTAATTTCATACCATTTCTTTGTTTAAGTTGAAAGACTAAGTAGAGGAATAAATCATTTAATTTATACAAATGTATAAATTGTTAAAAAATACCCAAAATATTCCAATGTTTCAAGATTTCCTTCATTTTCTAACACATTCTTTCACATTTGATTTCGAGCTGTATGGGAAGTAACAATACTAGAGTTTCAATAATATCAGGTATCGTACTTTATGTTTTTGGAATTGATATAAAATATTATTTATTGTATTTTCAAGATATCGTTCATTTTCTTATACATTATATCATTTTTGGTTTCAGGTTTCTGTACGGGAAGAAACAATACTAAAGTTTCAATAATATCGATTTGAGTATATCAATAATATACTTAATGTTTTTGGAATTGATATAAAATATTGTATTGAGATAAGCTTTACAATATCGCTACTCGTTCCCTCTGACATCGTCTAGCGATGACACTGACAGGAAGTAATTTTCCCCTTCAAGCTTCCTCTTTTCCTAATCTAACGCGTCAGTTGCAACACAGTGAAATTGGGAATAGCGAAGTCCAGTTGTGAGGGAAATTCGCCGTGAAATGAAACTCCGGAGAAGCATAAAACTGGAAATACATTCTTCGGGTGTTAGCTTCAGGAATGTGAGCACTGGTATAGGTTAAATGTGCACTTTTCACTTTATTTTCACATTACTTGTAGCGCATATTATCACAAAACATTTTTGAATTCAAAATAATTAATTTACGACACAGAGAGATGATGTAAGATGTGATGGGAAAACTGTAGGTAACTGAATATCATAAAACTCCATTGTTTTACGGAACAATAACTCGGTAACTATTCAAAGAAACAATCAAGAAATTGACAATAAAAGATAACCATGGCGGACACGTAGTTGAATTTAGATATTTACTGCCGGGTCATGCATATTCTGGGGGATATTCTGCGGTGGTGAGTTTTAAATTTCGTATTTCACTGTAAATAAACTTGAATATAATGAGTTAGTTAAATATTTCAGATTGTATGGTCCCAAACGACAGTATTGTTAAAATCTGAAGTTTGTCTTCCCCTTTGCTTTTGTAAAAATATTATTAAAGTAAGACAGTTCAATAAATCTCGAAAATCTAATATTGAAGAACGTTACTGAAAAACGTTAAAGACATTTTAATCAAAGTGTTACTCACATATATTAATAGATAGTTCTGGTGGCTCCTTCTCAGATTTTTTGAAGATACCTAACTGATGAGTAAAATGTTTAATGTGACCCAAGGGTTAAATGATAGGTTTTAAAAACCAACTATGTGAGCAGAATTATAGATTTTTTAAAATTTATTGAAAAAGTTATTTTGAATTTACAGTACATGATCCCTAGAACAAGGAAGGTATCTAAAGTAAAAATTGTTGTATTTTTTAAAAAAATAGAATGTTCGGGTAAATATGCAATTATAACAATACATTCAGCCATTGAATTTCGATGCCATAACGTATCCAAATTTTGAACTATTTTTCCTTCGCAATGATAAACACATTTTGAGTTTAAATATTTAAAAGTTAATGTATGACTGATAGTTCCTACTTTTCAGTTCTAGTACTAATTGTTTCTTATTTTTACCTTTTTGAGGTTAAATAAAGATAATCTAGCCTCAATATTCTAACAGCAGATCATAGCAACCTCTCCCACCACTATTTTATTATTGAATATTTTTAACAACAGGTGTGAATAGTTTTCTATTTAACTGTTTATATTTTAAATATACAAATAAATACTTGAAAACAAAAGGATAAAGTAACTGGACAAACTTGTACACTTCGTCCACAACTACCTGCTCACAGCAGCGCTTATAAAAAACACTCATTGTTAAAGCGAATATTAACGTCGTTGGCAGGTGCGTCCTCATCGGAGGATCCATTGCCATCGGGCTAATCGGCGGAATAGTCGCCGACCACTTCCTCACGTCGATGGTGCAACGGCAGCACGGCGCCTATGGTGGCCGCCGGCCTCGCGCTCGACGTGGAGCGCAGGCTGGTGGAGACGGCGTGTATCCGGACGACGGGGCTGCGGGTGACGCAGGGTTGGACCCGGAACCGTAGAGGTGACGGAGTCACCATCAGGTCACCGTCATTAGCAGCAGCCAGCGAACGTTGGAGCGAAATTGCGTCATGAAATGCATGGGGTTTTTGTCAACGAAAAAGTTTGCCGCAATCCAACGATTGGTAAAATTTGGCGCAATCCAACGGCAAACCATAGTTGATCTTTTAGTTATCAACTTTAGCAGCCAACCACAGAGTACGATTATACCAAGAAATACACAGATATACTGAAATTCATCGCAATCCACCGATAATCCATCGGTCTTTCTTGTCGCGTAGACAACCACTATCAGCAGCCAAGAAGCGAAGAGATATACAGGGGATTCGAATAGTTTATTCTGTTATCTTTATTCTGTTGTTCCTCTCGCTCCACCTATAAGCGGAAGTAATACTTTTACGAAGATGTGTAGAAAATCACACACTATCAGCTAATATTGGAGCTCAACGAAAGCGAAATATACAAAGAGGAAACATCCATACAATTTGATAATTCATAAATCCATAAAGCTTCTCATGTAATGCGTACTCAAACCCTTTTATATATAAGAAGAAATTTGGTGGTTCTCACGACTACCCGCCATGTTTATTAATTTATAAAAAACATCTTTGAATAACACAAAATCTGATTAATTTGTATCAATTGTCATTTTATGTTTATGATATGTAATACTCATTTTAACAAATACAATTTCAAATGTTTTTTTCTCTTTTCAGTTAAGTAAATTAGATAGAAATCATACTTGTTTGTATCAAAATACTTTACAATTATTTTTCACATAAAACAATGAAATATTATTTAGAGTACCCATATGCATTGCATATAAACAATCTTTGCATAGCATTAAACAAATTTTGTATAGCATTAAACAAATTTGTTGCTAGAAAATACGTTCATATTTTATTTATTTCATTTAAATTAAGAATAAGCAAAACATATGAGAAATAATACAATTATGTAACTTTAATTAAAACTAAAAGAAAATCATTTCCCTGAAGTGTTATTTTGTGACTGCAGGCTTTATGAGACATGGTTCATTTTTCGCATTTTGAATCTCGCGTCGCTTCTATGAGGTTAGAAATCAAACTAAGTTGTCTGAAATCGCACTCCAACTAGGTATTATCACCAGAAGCTGGTGTTCTGACACTTCATACGATAGAAACTGTCTCGTTACAATCATCACCTGCGTCGTTCGCGTGAACTCCGACAATTGTCTGGTAATAGAAAGTCGCACAACCAGCGTATTGTACGAATTATATAACTACATTGTAATCCTTAATTGTTAATTTTTTGGCTTTAATGAAGATAAGTTTGAACTTTGGGTAACGTTTTTGTGAGGATATTTGAACAGCACATAAGGAAGACCCAATGGTCCAGCGAGTATTCTAAGTCCACCCGTAAAAAGACTTTCTGTGAAGATGATAGAATTCAGGCTTGGCGAAGTTTCTCTTCGCAATTCAGGCGATTGCGTGAACTTTTCATTAAAGAACGTTCGAACGGTCCGGGGCATACGCTTCCTCATCCCAATTGAGGATAACACATATCACCGATTACTTCAATAATCAGGATCATCCTTCATCACTTTCATCACACCTTCATCACGTGTTTCGAAAGTGAATGGTTTTGTGATGGTCAACGTCGGGAGTACGCTCTTCAAAAACAAAAACTCACCCAATACTGACTGACATCAAATCCGACAATTAATAGTTATCCATGATTCTTTGCCACAATTCTACAATTAAATTAAGGGCCGTTCTTGCATTTTAGCAATATAGACTTTTTTCTTTCTTGCTCTTACGAATGTACTTCGTAGGAAGAGAAAGTTACGTAATCGGAAAATGGCAATTTGTTTCTTCAAAAAACTGTCGGATCACTGCTCTCTGCAGAGCCTTTCTGCCTGGCCTGCTCGCTGCGTGTATCCTGTACCTCTCTTGGCAGTTGTGTTGCCCTATCCTCTGCCGGTAGGAACAATATTGGTTTTAGAGATGATCCCGATCGTGGCGGCCGCAGAAAAAACAACGATCGCTAAACGCGATACCGTCGTGCCGCGTTGCGCCCACGCTCTGCCGCTGGCAAGAAGTACTAACCATACTAACCAGGGAAATTGACCGAACTTGCGAGTATGATAGGGTAGGCTTCCGAACGCTTCCGAAATTTGTATTGTGGCGTCATATCAGTCGCCTTGTACAAACGTAACAAAATATTAGCCACGTGCACTTCATGCTCACGAAATGCACGAGGAAATGGTTGCGACTGCGCTGGCGGGAAGGGACGCCAGGCTGAACAATGGCAAACCTAGGGAGCGGAAGGGAAGAGGTGCCGTGTCGTGGGTGTCCACTTGTGAACCCCGTAGACCACTTGGTGCAAACTTCTGAACCCCGTAGACATGCTGGCTGTGGAAACGCGTCGGCGGAAACACCGAAATGACGCAGTTCCCTCAGCCGGCCCAGATGGTAATATAAACAGACCCCGGGTCTAAACTCCTTCTGATGCTTGGGCGCGTCGGTAGGAAGTCGTGTGGGTTGTGCAGGGCGCTGCATTTCAATGCATAGGCTACTGAGGCAGGGAACTGAAGTCGGCATGCTATGTCGAGGCGGGAGGTGCGGCATACTCGCTTGTATGCTCACGTAGGCAACTGGTGCATCACACCGAATAAGATATCAAATTATCAGGCCAGCGGTGGTGGTGACCGGGAACATTCCTTCTGGTAACGGGTCAATATTGTTTATTGTAATTATTGTAAATAGTATTCAGGTGTTGGAGCGTATTTCAAATAAATACTGAATAAATTACAAACCGTTCACGTCTGTGATTTATTGCCCCGGCCAATCGCCACAGTATGATCTAATAGGCTATCCGGGGCGGGCCGGATCAGTGTCTTGGTAGAAAACGTTTTGGCCAACACACTTTGGCCTTCCCCAGAGCTGTTCTCGCAGAGGGGAAGGGATGCCAGCGGAGGTCGCGGTTCTTGGTGGAAGAGTGCCACCCATACTTCGACTTCCACGGCGGCTCTCGCGTAGTTAGTTTGAAGGTGGAGGCTGTAAGTAGGCTTGGCAGCGACCATTGGTCGGGATTGGGCGTGGCTCCGTTAGCCAGGATACTCTGTGCAAGGTGATAGATCTCTAACCTACATATAAGATTTCAGACGATATGAGATTCCCTAGGTTGTCTAGCGTCCGGTGGTACTCATGGCGACAACTTCATAGTGGAGAGAGTGAGTGGTTTAGAGACCCGTTTTCTGGACATCAGGCACCGATTTGTTTACTACTTACCCGTGACATTTTATTCACTTCCGAATTACCGTTTCTCTAGCGCCCCGAACTTTCCTTATAATTTCACATTTAGCCACCATAGGGCAGTAAACTATGACTTAATAGAGACATCTATTAATCACCACTTGAACTACGGCCTTTTCTCAAATGTCACTGATGCATGACTTATCAGATTATCCCTAATGCAACGTCCCAATTATAAAAGAAAACGAAATGCTTACAGATCAAGAGTGTGGAGACAGAGTAAATGGATTAGTTGGAGAAATCTCAAACAGAAATTTAATAGTGACGAATGTAGTTCAATTCCTGTTCTTTTTATTTCAGCTTCAGAATGTAATCTAACTGCTACTAGATTGCGCTGTACGGAAATACAAAGGCGCGTTTTTAAACAGATGTTTCAGAATCCTGCAACTGCAAAATTGAGCACCAATTTCATAGGCTCTCAATAGCCCCTTTCTCTGTGAAAATTGAAAAGTTAAGCTATATTTGTAGTGAAACACATGTTCTTGTATATTTCTCTTGTAATTTTTTCATGGAAATAAATAAGTAGTTACACATGTAGGGAATCAGAATTAATAAAATAATTGAATTGATTGAATATTTGAATGAATACTTGAGTTTTCATTAGATAAACTAAATGTGTGATTCACTGTCCTAGAACTCAGACGTCATTTTCTTTTCAAATATGACGTAGCTGAATAACTGGGTGGGGTAGGAATATTTTAAATGTATTGTACTGGTCGCTGATTATTAGCACTACGATAAAACACATTAGCAGTTTTAATCCCACAATAACAATACCACCCCGGCATTCGCTTGGCATTTATCGAATAAAAACCGACAACTTCCTATCTGAGTAGCCGGCTGCAAGAATTCTTCTTCCAGAGACAATGGCTGAATTCAATCTAGCTGTCTATTTATTGTCGAAAATCCTCCACAATGTGTCAGTTGTTGACCTCGGCTAACTCAACCGATTACGAAGAAACAACAGACTGAAGGGCGCCGAACGCGCGAATCGGGGTCTGTACGGTATGCGTGTGGCGCTCGGTGGAGTCTGCGCTGTTCAACGTAGGTCGCCTGCGACCCACACTGAACTGATGTCATTTTTGCATCGTTAAGATTTCTTGTCAGCGAGCGCTAATGAAATCCTCGCCGGAGAGAAGCTTCTGCTCTTGCGCAGGCGGCCATGAGCAATTGAACGAAGAGAAAAACCATTCATCTTCCGACGCACGCGGCGACGGTGGCGGCCTCTTTAAATAACGACGCAATTGCGGAGCGCAGGCCTATGTAAGGAGGTGTTTATTCCTCGACCACTCGTCGTAAGATTGTAGGACTCTAGACCCAACGTTAGCAGATTTACGTAGATAGGGGAACCCGTGAAATAGAACGGCTGATTTCTAATAGACTTGCGGATATTAAAAGGCAAGAGATCTGGGCAGCAACGGCTGAAAAACGTTCGCTAGTAGCTCAAATTCATGCGAGTCCGTTGTGGGGTTGCGAAGGTTACGTTCATACTTTCGGAAAGGACGCAAGAGGGGGATACGCTTGGTTCAGGGTTGGGGGATGGATGCAGCGTAGACTAAAGGACGCAAGTGGTAATGGCATCTGTGTGCTTTGCGGTGATAGGGAAGACTGGATCCACATCCTCTTAATTTGCTGTGCAAGCGAATCATGGAGAAAAAAATGGATGGGAATGGGAAATTACTACTTTCTAAACAGGAACGTAACGC